GAACATTGTTTGCACCAAATATTTTTCCAAAATCAAGATAGAGGACATGCTCTACTCCCCTCCTATCAATACAGGCTCTTACCGTGTTCTTGAATACCCCTTCTTTTGACACGTTAGCGACAATGAAGGGGAGAAAGATAAAGGTTTTCTTAGCACATTAGGAAAATGTATATATGTGCCAAAATAGTTTCCACTCCATCTTTCCTTTTACCTCAGCATTGCTGTGGAAGCAGGAGATAAGAGCAGCAGCCTGAGGTGGAACACAAGCTGCCACTATAAATATTGTGAAATGATTATGCAAGACTGTCCAAAATTTGGAAAAGCATTAGAGAACTTTCACGTTTGTACACCGATGTTTAATCCTTGGAAAAAAATCAGGAAGAAAGTCAGTGACCTGGAGTCTATTGCTGATTTGGGCACTGGAGTGAGAACTGAATTGAGCATTGGGTACACTTGTCATCACCATCCAATACTACAAGTTTGGTCTAGTATCTTATGTACTACAGGAGGTAGCACGAAGATAAGACTAAAGCCTCTAGTAACAGCGAGAGTCAGTGCCAGGCTGATGCTCATCTGTGCCAATGTCCATTCTCATTTCTGTAAACGTACTAAGACAAAATGTTACCCAAAGGTCCCATGTGTCCAGGATTAGTGCCGCATGGGGAAAGTAAAGGAGTCTGCTTCCGGCATACACGAGCTGTTAAGTTAGTTTGGTCACCTTATGTAGCTGTACCCTTGACAACCTTTTAGGAATAGGCCAGATATTCCTTGAGTGACAATAAATACATCCCTGCTCAAATACGTCTATCAGATAGTGGCAGTTACATAGAGGGAGAGACTGGAATATCAACATGAAGAAGTGTGTCTAAATGTCAGAAATGCAAAAATGAGAACAGTTGCCTAAGCAACCTCCTGCTTTCATTGACACGAGTGGCATGGAGCTTGAGACTTCAAAATTGTGCAAAGGGAGAGATACTATTACAGTCATTTTACAAATCAGCAAACTGAAACTAGGTGCTACGATGATGAATTGCTTCTTACTGTATTAGTAAAAAGTCAGCAGAAGTGCTAGGAAAAGAGCATGGGTGAAGCTAGTCAGTGCTCTCACTGTACTGGCGTTTCTGAGCACAAGGTGTTTTCAAACCATGCTTCACTAAATACCTGCTGGTGGTCTCCCGTGAAAGGGCTTCGTGGCTGCTTGGAGTCCCCTTCATTCCTCTTTTCAGCTGCTAAACCAAAAGACAGTCACAAGTTGTGTGCAATCAGAGACAGTAGCTGATGCATAAGGGAGGTGGGTTTTTTGGTTTTACAATAGGATAAGCTTTTTATTGAAACGTGGTCACACCCAGGCAAAGTTTGAGAACCTCTGTGTTCTAGGAAAGCTATTTACTCGGAGTCTTTGGTACACCAAAAAAGAACATTTTATGTTGATTTTTGGTTAATGAGCAGTGAGAAGTAGGCAAAGATACCAGGCACATGGAGGCACATTTTTCTAAATAATGATGTGGTTGATTAAGGTGAGCAGATTGAGGGCCACAGAGATTATGCAAATCTCACTTAGATAAATGTTTATG